CTTTAGCCACCAATTTTTTTAAAATACTACTACTACTACTACTACTAATACCCTGTTTCCCCGAAAATAAGACCTACCCCCAAAATAAGCCCTAGCAGGATTTCTATGCATTTGTGGTATAAGCCCTAATGTGTCTTCTTGAGAAAAAATAAATATAAGACAGTGTCTTATTTTCGGGGAAACACGGTAATAATAATAACAACAACAACGATAATGATGATAATGATAATAACAACAACAACAACAACAACAATAATAATAATATTGGATTTATACCCCACCCTTCACTACCCAAAGGTGTCTCAGAGCGGCTTACAAACTCCTTTCCCTTCCCCTCCCCACAACAGACACCCTGTGAGGCGGGTGGGGCTGAGAGAGCTCTTGACAGAAACTGCTCTTTTTCAAAGACAGTTCTCATCAGAACTACGGCTTGCCCAAGGTCATCCAGCAGGTGCAGGTGGAGGAGTGGGGAATCAAACCTGGTTGTCCCATATTAGAGTCTGTGCACTTAACCACGACACCAAACTGGGTCTCCTACACCAAACTGGCTCTTAACCACTACACCAAACTGGAGAAGGGAGCACTCACTGGAGAAGACCCGGATGCTGGGAAAGACTGAAGGTCAAAGAAGAAGGGGACGGCAAAGGATGAGGCAGTTAGACAGTGTTATTGAACATGAAACTCTGGAGGATGGCGGAAGACAGGAGGGCCTGGCGTGATGTGGTCCATGGGGTCATGACGCTGTGACTGAACCACAACAGCATGTGGAATGGAGAACACGTTTTGTGTGTGTGTGTGAGAGAGAGAGAGGGAGACAGTGTGCTTAAAGGTCAACTTTAGGTGGTGGTGGAAAGTCCAGTCGAGTCTCAGTGAACATGGCGACCAGTGTTCCCTCTAAGCTGAGTTAGGGTGAGCTAGTTCACAGTTTTTTAGCCTCCTGCTCACAGATTTTTGTCTCCGCTCAGGAAGGAGGGCTCCAGAGCAAACTAATTTATGCAGCAGCCAAATCGCTCGCTCACGACTTTAATGCCAGTCGCTCACCAAGTAGAGTTTTTGCTCACAGGACTACACAGCTTAGAGGGAACATTGATGGCGATCCCGTAGGGTTTTCAAGGCAAGGGACGAGCAGCGGTGGTTGGCCATTGCCTGGCTCTGCCCTTGGACTTCCTTTGTGGTCTCCCTTCCAAGTACTAACCAGGGTTTTTGCTCACAGGACTCCTTAGAGGGAACATTGAATTGGCGACCCCGTAGGGTTTTCAAGGCAAGGGACGAGCAGCGGTGGTTGGCCATTGCCTGGCTCTGCCCTTGGACTTCCTTTGTGGTCTCCCTTCCAAGTACTAACCAGGGCCAACCCTGCTTAGCTTCGAAGAGCTGACTAAATTGGGCCTGCCTGGGCCACCCAGGTGAGGGTAGAGTTGTGTGCTGCCTAGTTGCAGCCAAGTGACGGTTTTCAAGGTGAGAGATGTTCAGAGGTCATTTGCCGTTGCCGGCCTCTGTGCAGCGACCCTGGTTTTCTTCCTTGGCGGTCTCCCATCCAAGTACTAACCAGGGCCGACCCTGCTTAGCTTCCGAGATCTGACAAGACTGGTCTAACCTGGACCGTCTGGGTCAGGTCAATATTTAGGTTTGCCGATCAGAATATCAAAGATTAAGATATAAGCTCTGTATACAGGGGTCGTTTCGCAGAAAAAGAGGTGCAGGAGCTCATTAGCATAACTCATTTGCATATGCCACGCCCCCTGACATCACCGGAAGTGTGTCAGAAGGCAACACCCACCGCTCAGGCTCCACTGGACTGTTTTGGATTGCCAGCTATTGGGGGGGGGGGACATGCAGATCTGCCCTCACAGAGGAGGGAGAGCTTGTACCTGAATAAAACTTGGTCTTAAACGTGCCACTGGACTGTTTTGTACCGGGGGCCCGGGATGGAGCTCTGCAACTTACCTGGCTGCTTCTTGCTCCTCGTGGCCAGGGGCTGCTGGGAGCAGGGGGTGGGGCTTGTTGCATGTGCCCGCCCCCTGGGCTCTTTACTGCCGGAGCTCCGCTCCTGTGCGCTCCTGCAGGAAATGAACCCTGTCTGTATATAAGATAGTTGAACAGATTTAGGTGTATAAAAGAAATGGTTCCACTTATGTAAAATCTTAATAGTTACGATGAGTACATGTTCCTTGTGTGCTGTATGTTTGTTTCCCTTCGTGGTCTATGTCTTTCCTTTTCCTATCTAAAAATTAATAAAACTGTTTAAAAAAAGGGGAGGGGGAAAAAGAAACAGTGGTTCCTGAACTCAGCTCCGGAGCAGGGAAGGGGCCCTCATCGCTTCACTGTCTGTGTTTGTTTCCCCGTTGTTATGTTCTTAGTTTTTGAAGAGAACTCAGAACGCTCGTCTTGGGTCTTTCAGAATGCCTGGGTTTGTGGGGTCGGGGAAAACACGTGCCACTTGGGGCTGTGTAGAACACGGGCATGAAAACCCCACAGAGTGTGGCAGCAGAATTCCGCTTCCTAAGAATCTCCTCTTTCACCTTTCTGTCTTTTCAAAATCGTGCCCGGAGGCTTCAGGGCTTCCGAGGAAAGCTTAAAAGTGCGTGGAAAACAGTTGGTAAAACCTTGGAAGGCGGGGGTGTTGCCTGAGTAAGCGCTTTCCCCTTCCATGACTAAGCAGAAACCTGATACCGTCTGCAAAATAAGAGCAATTATGCAAATCTGCATTGTTTGCATGATCAATGCAACTTGAAGACTGGGGCTTCATTCTTGGCGCCAAATTGGGCCTAATCCTGACCTGGTCTTTCTTTCTAGTGGAGAGCCAGCGCCATCTCCGCTCAGCACCACAAGATGAATGTGAGAGCCAGTTTGGTGTAGTGGTTAAGTGTGCGGACTCTAATCTGGGAGAACCGGGATTGATTCCCCACTCCTCCACTTGCCGCTGCTGGATGTCACTCTCACACTTTGTAAAGGTCAAACTGAAATATTACTAAAGCTGTACACGTACTTGGGAATACAGTGGAACACTACTAGCTTTGTCTGAAAACGGGGCAAGAATGCTTATTTGGATCGTCTGCTTATTTTATGTAAAATTAGGGTACCGATTTTCTTTCAGACATTCAGAATGCGGTCCCTGAGAGCTAGTTTGGTGTAGTGGTTAAGTGTGCGGACTCTAATCTGGGAGAACCGGGTTTGATTCCCCAGTCCTTCACTTGCACCTGCTAGATGACCTTGGGCAAGCCATAGTTCTCTCAGAGCTGTCCTTGAAAAAGAGCAGTTTCGGTCAGAGCTCTCTCAGCCCCACCTACCTCACAGGGTGTCTGTTGTGGGGAGGGGAAGGGGAAGGAGTTTGTAAGCCGCTCTGAGACTCCTCTGGGTACTGAAGGGCGGTATAAATCCAATCTCCTCTCCTCCTCCTTGACAGATGGATTTCTCCAGCACACGATCGTCTTGTTTAAGTCTGCAAGCAGTTGTGGGGAGGAAACGTGTGAGGCCCCATTATTTTTTCCCCCAACCCCACTCAAGGATGACAAAAGCACTTCCTGGCTCTGTTAGGCAGCTGCAAACCAGCCCAGGCGATCTGGACTTTTTCCTCCAAGGCCGCAACAGTGAGGCAGGGCGAGTTGCATAGTCAGTTTTCCCTTGGCAGCGGAGATGACAAGTGAACCAGACGAACTGCGCGGTCTGTGAGTCAGCTGTCAGTATCTGCATCGATCGCGTCGTGTGCCTGTCGCTCACAGCTGCGGATCTGCGCCGGAGTTTGAACATTATTTATTTATTTATTTATATTTCAGTTTGTATCCCGCTCACCCCCGAAGGGCTCTGAGCGGCTTACATGTTCCAATTCATACAATCCTAAACCTAGGGCCACATACGTGTAGGGGACGTGACAAGCCTACCAGGCACCCTCTCTGTGTAGCGGATCTTCGTTGTTACTGCCATGCTGAGTCTGCCTCAATAGGTTTTGTTCATCAATGTGCCTACTAAGTCTTTTCTTATTAAGAGTTTCCACCAACTTACCAGGTACCAACATCAGACTGACTGGCCTGTAAGTTCCAGGATCTCCTCTGGAACCCTTTTTAAAGATGGGGGTGACATTAGCTACCTTCCAGTCCTCAGGAATGGAGGCAGATTTTAAGGAAATATTACATATTTTTGTCAGATCCACAAGTTCACATTTGAGTTCTTTCAGAACTCTCGGATGTATACTATCCGGGCCTGGTGATTTGCGCACTCCGGCCGCGGTGGGGCTCGAACAGCCGAAGCTGTTCAGCCAGATGTTAATGCAGGCTGCACTTACTGCCTGCGCCACCGCTCCCATTACGTAGGAAGCCGCCGGAGCGGGCAGGTGGTTTTGGTTTCCCGACGTAGTGCTGAGTGCGGAACACAGAACTGGTCCCTGAAAAAGCGAGGGAGTGTGATCAAACCTCAAAGGCTGTCCTGGCACTGGGAGATTTTCAGTGAATTCTGCTTAGCCAGAGGAACTGGTTCTCGCAGCTGCTGCCTGTCTGGCTAGTCTGTTCTCATCAGATCTCGGAAGCTAAGCAGGGTCGGCCCTGGTTAGTCCTTGGGTGGGAGATCACCAAGGAAGTCCAGGGTCGCTATGCAGAAGCAGGCAATGGCAAACCACCTCTGAATGTGGCTGTTAGCCTCAAGGCATAGGTAGGAACTCTCAGGCT